TCATCGTCTTGCCTCGTGGCTACTGGTCCTTTAACAGCCTCACATTGTTTCCAGTTATTAATATTTATTAATTTATCAAAGAATAAATTACTTTTTATCTTTACTAAGAGCCGGGCACTGCTCCGCCGTGCAGTTCACCGACGCAACCTGAACCACACCGCAACAACACACTCATTGAGCACAACCGGTATATATGTATGCAAACCTGTATTTTTAAATATCTAATGGAGATTAATTCTTAGAAGGAGCTCTCAACTCAGCTGTCTGTACAGCTGGCTGCTGCTGCTGCTCGGCTGCAAACGTCTGCATACACCCATCGAGATGAGCAGCAAGTATCATGCAACTTTTGTTCGGTGCTGCAGTGCGAGGAGGTGGGCGGCGTGACTGGGTCTGCATGCACTCAGAGTTTCCGGTCCTCATCGCGGTGTCTGTGCATGTGCATGCGCATGCGCATGCGCATGCAAAGCCTGCAGCAGCACTCAGCTGCACCGCTTCTGTCTGATCTCTTCCTAGATAAGCAGTAGCTGCAGCTGTTCAACAAGCCAGGGAGATGGGGAGCACGTGGGGGAGGAGTTTCTCCCTGAGCTCTGCCCTCCCGCAGCAGCAGCAGCAGCAGCAGCAGAAGCAGCAGCAGCAGCAGCAGCAGCAGCAGCAGCGGCCGCTGTTATGTTTCACCATTCAGATGCAGTGGGTACCCCAGAGGGGGGAGATGGACTGCGGCCTTGCATGCGCTCAGATGATACTGAAGTGGGGCTTTCTTATAAAACTAATAAAATTTTTTTTATATAAAAAAAAATTATGCTGCTACAGATATTTCCTGTATTTCTTTGTTGCTTTCTCTCTCTGTCTTTCTCTCCCTCTTTTCTCTAGTTTTTCCTTTTCTCTCACCCTTATAACACTTCTCTCCTCCATACATGCATGCATGCATGCATGCATGCATGCATGCATGCATGCATGCATGCATGCATGCGTTTGTGTGTGTGTGTGTATGGGGCTGCAGGACCCTGGATTCCTCGGGCTTAAGCCCCCAGCCCCCCTACTTGTTGGTTTATAACGAAAAAAAAAACAAAGACAGCAGCAGCAGCAGCAGCAGCACTTCTCCTTTATCCTCAATATACAGCAGAGAAGATTCAACTGCAGACGCAGACAGCGACAGTGCC